ATGTCTGTTTAAATCTGAAAACTGTTTTCAGCTCGTGCTGCAATGCACACATGTTGTTTTGGTATGAAAATATTTATGGTCAAATTAACTTAATTATCAGTTTAATCGTGAAATCTGAAATTTTATTTTGAGTTTTGTTGTTGGGACCATTGCCATAACTCTGGCAAAGACAAATACACCGTATCCAAGAAATTTCTCTCTGCTAAAGTAATCATTCAGTTGCGAACTATATCACTTTGTCCAAGAAATCCCAATTAAAGGAGCATTGAGCAAATAAATTATCAAATGAACAACTTTATTGCTTTTAAAAGGATCTATATGAACAGAGTGTTAAGTTCTTAAGTTTTGCTAAATATTGAAATAAAAAGACGACTCTCATCAATTTAAACGAAACGCATCTTTGAAGTCCCCCATTTCATTTTATTGAGGTAAAGCATCTTTCATTAAAATATGTCTATATTTACATTACAGCTATACTGAAAGGAAAAAGAAACGCAGGGTAGCATAATTTTCGATAAAAATTTGACCACATGACCGAAAATTACGAAAATTGGTCAGAAGGGCAATTTAGTTACTGTGCATCACAATCAGTATTCAGAATTACTCAACCGTAAAATTTATGACGTCATGTAGGGAAAACGCTAAAAAGCCCAAAACACGTGCAATTTGATAACGACGAGTTTGTCAACAAATCTTGTTGCATTATTTGATGCATAAGAGGTATGCACATCGTTTTTCAGTATTAAGAGACATTGTGAATTGATTGCAATCTTGGCACAGTTTACGGAAGTTCAATGGGGTCTTGTTTTCGAATTGCCTAATTAATGAAAAAGGCAACAATGGTTAACTAGGCAGTTTCTTGCTAAAAATTGTTAAGAGAGGGTCTGGAGTGGTTTTCAGTCAACCGTGACGATGACGTTTACGCGAAACAGAGCCATGTTGCGAGTGGGTTATTCGTTCTGCCATCTCTTAAATCGCCACCTTACTACCACAAAAACAGCCATTTATAGAGTAGATGATTATAATCATTAAATTCATACGAAATTTGAAAGAAAACAATTCCGCAATTTGGTTTTTTGAGCCAGTCAACTCACAGTTGTATTCCTCTCACTGGCGCATACGCACGCCGTTGGACTTAATTTTTTGCGTGGTTACCCATGCTAAATATAGCCAGGGTTTAAAAGATAAACACTCTGATGAAATTTCATGCAAAGGAGAAATAAGACTCTGACAAATGCGCGAGATAGACATTAAAGATAATGGGAGTTTTCGATTCTCACTTTTAGGGGGTATCGTCATTTGAGCTTCAATAACTCATGAATAATTAGACAAAATCATATGAGAATTTGGTTATATCTTTTTGAAAGATGATTTTAAAAGGTAGATAGGAAAACTAAAAAGAATTTTGAGAAAAAAAAATTTAATTCACCTCAAAAGTTTACCCTGCGTTTCTTTTTCCTTTCAGTATAGTTAACAAAATCATTAAACCGCACTCAAAATGTCCCGATGAATACACGCACCACTTGTCTGAAATTTAAGAGCATTTTCAAACGCTTAAGCACGATTTCTTTTAAGCTATCAAATATACGGGGTACCAAATACTCGTGACACCGCGCTGCGTCTGCGTGGTACGTGTGGCTCAGTCACGTGACACATGATTAATTCGACACTATTCAAATATTCACTATGTCAACGTGTTGACTTTCCCCTCGGTTTTGTCACATCACGTAATGGGATTTTAATGCTGGTGTTGAAAAAAAAAATCCAATGAAGTGCAAACCCCTGTCCTCTTTTGTTTGGTCTCGGATTAGAAGTCAGGGCAAAACTGAAGTCTTTCTGAAAGGTTTAATGGACGTTTCTAATTTTCCATGGATAATCAAGACATGGGTCACCGTTTTTTGTTAAATCTGGTGATAATCTTTCTGTTAATATTTGCAGATTCAGTTTGTTAGAGCGATTATCTCGCACAAAAGCTAACTCAAGGGAAAACGATATAATTTAGGTTCGGGTCACCGAGAGAGGAGTGGGGTTATATGCTATCTTATAATAAGATTAATTCAAATGCATTCTTACTGCAAGATATAAACGTAAACATAGATAGTTGATGTGTAACTGTGCACATAAAAATAAAGAGATTATGTAACAAAATGAAAACCAAGTTTCAACACACCCACTTTATGTGGAGGGCAGTTTCTGTAGATTCTGAAGCAATAATCAAAGAAACATGCAGACTGCTCTGTTTCAAATCACAGACTCTTGGTTTCATGATGCTGTATGTTATGTATTATGTGTTTCTTCGTATATCCGAATATACAATAGTAACATGTACCCATTTAAATAAAAATTTTAAATAATCGCTAAAATAAGCACTTTTGCAAACATTGTTTTACTGTATTTAAAAAAAAATTGAAGGTATATTAACAATTGCTATCTTGGATTTCAGGGAGTGTCTCGGTTCAAACTTGATTTTAAGGTAGGTCCGGGCTTTCAGAAATGTCAAGCTAATTTTTTTTTCATCATATGAATAACTTCAGTTACTCAAATTTATTAAAAAGCTCTTATTTTAAAACATACCTGGTAGGCTTTTTTTATTATCAAAATTCAACAAGCAACATCAGCTTAAAGAAGTAAGATATTTTTTTTTATTATTTATTTTGAATTGTGCAAATAACTGAATTAAGTCCTCTTCAGACCAAAGTAAATAAATAAAATTTTCTATAAAATTTAAAAGCATTGTATGAGTTTATTATATTTTTATTAGTTTATTTATTCCTTCTCAATCAAATCAACTAGCTTAATCTGGCTAATATAGTATAAAGATTCCTATATTGGACGTCAGAATAAACAAATATGGTGAACACCACTTCAACATCCCAAAGCTGTTTATAAAGAAATCATTATCTATTCCTAATATTATACGTAAGAAAAGTTGCTTTTTATTAAATTTTATTTTGAAAAATCCCGAACACGTCCACCAATATTATCTTGATGTGTTTTTCAAAGACTAGGTATTACAGCAATTTATAAAACAGTTGAGTTTTCCTTTATGTATGAAATCTAAGACCAGCGCCGTCAAAAGAAAATCTTACTATTGGAAGCATTGAACCGTTCGTACTAGACCCAGTGGTGTTCGAACACCAATTACCACAAGAATCAAAGTGAAAATGGATTTAAAAAGTTATCATAGAGTCAAAGTTTGATTTAAATAGTCGTAAAGCCTACATGTTCTCCTTATGCTGTCAATGAAGGATTAAAGGAACGATTTTCAGCAATTAGTAGAGTATGTACTTGTCTAGAAAAACATTAGAAAACAAATCATGCGGATATAATTGGAGCCACACAGTCAATACCGGAAAATTGGAAAAACAAACCCGGATTTGTATTTTTCTTAAAACGCGGTAGGGCAAAATAGTGAGAGACTCAGCGATCAACGTCGTGTCATAGCTCATTATACAGATGAAATGAATAAAGGCAGAGATTTTCCGAGATTGTAGAATGATGCATAATCATAAAGGAGGTTTTTCTTACGTTAGGGTCTCGTATTTCATGACGGATGTGGACCCAGCATGTGATGTTGATAAGGATCAGAAAGTGAGCAGTTTTTATCGAGTTATTCTCGTTTTTTTTAAAAAAGGTTCTGTGCTGGATTATTTCGTCAAACAATAGAGCTTAGAAGCCTTTATCAGTTACGTTTGTCATTTGGAGGCAGACATTAATGTGAAACAAGTAAAAACACAAATGTGTGCTTTGCAGCACTTCCAACATGTCAGCCATCTTTGATAAAATTTTGACAAAGTTACATGGTTTCGTATATGACTAATTTTGCTGAGTATATGTATGAATGGTTTATTTGTTAAAAGCATGAATATCTAACTGATACTCAGTAATAGATATACATTTAAGACTTGCCACAAATAACACCTGTTTTATTGCGAGTCTCGACAATTATATACTAGTAGTAGGTTGAATGTTGTTTTTGTCTGTGATAGAGGAATAAGCTAAAGAAAGCATGATAATTTTTTCAAGCTTTGATACAGAACCAAGCATTTAAAATGCTTCCAATTTGTTTTATGTACAAATTCTGATGTTGAAAACCCTTTCAAAATTTGAAATATAAATCCACGTCTCTTTGAGATATGTTTTTGCAAATGGAAGTCTTGTTTTGCTAAACGTTAAGGTTAATTCTTAAACGCCAATGATAATGAAAAATTTTCAAAACAGCATCAGAACATTAATCATTGCCTGCTTAAAGTATCAAGAAATACGAATAACTATTGGTGGGATACTTTTTGACTGAAAAACCTCTCATTTCTTGAACATGGGACGGAGAAATGATGTTTGAAAATAAAATTTGATATCTATATACTAAAATATGCAATTTCTGATGCTAAACATAATGTTAATGAAAAAAAGCTTTCATCATCGTTAATGAAAAATGTTATAGTTGGCACAGATAACTGTAAGTTTCAGTCATAATATTTTAGCTGTATCGACGATTGCTAACTTACGGAAAACCAGAGGGGAAATAATTTTAAAAAATATCTTAGCCATAAAATATAATGGAGCTTTTATTCTAAGACGAAATATTCTGTTTTAATGATATAAAATGCATGTTTTATCACCTCCTTCTTCCTCTGAGGGACTCGTAATAGTGTGATGATCATAATATTACAGGCCTAATGATATCACCCATTTTGGGGGAAGATGTTAAAACACCAAATAGGGGGTTTCTTCACTTAAGAGGTGGTATAACGACGTGCAATGGGGGAAATGAAGAATAATTTTTAAGTAAGACACCCGTACAAGTGATAGTTACGTTCCTTTATCTCTTTTTCTTGCATAACATAATGACCACAATTCTTTTTCAGCTCTCCCACGCTTCTCATCTTGTTTTCTATGTGTTAAAATGTATTTCGTCTGAAATAAGATCATTTCTACGTTATTAGAATTCCATTAGTGAATAAATTTTTGATTCAGTGCAAAGAAATTGAACAAATGCCTGAAAATCTCGCCTTTTAATTCGAACACTTGTTGCATTTTTTTTAACCATATAATGTACAAGTAGTTAAAAATCAAAGAAAATCACAGTCGTAAAATTACGTCTACATGTATGAAAAAGTTAAATAGGTCTGTAGATCGATTTTTAGGACTTTTAATCATAAAATGCTATTCTACTGCAACACAATGTGGCACGGCTTTACATTCTCTTTATCACGCTTAAAGCCGATACGTGATTCCGTACACAGAATTCAATACTGTCTACGTCAGAAGAAACACGAAATTCATCCTGAGCTCTTCTGTCTAAAAGATGATTAGAAAAACAAAAATATAATTTTTATGTACCTTGCTTTATAAAACATTTTGTCCTATTTTTCATAACATTTTCTTTTTCTTCAACGTGAATACTTTTATAATGCTTTTATTATAGTACAACATGCACTTGCTGTTATCTCGTGAAATTATTCTCCTACATAACATTCTTTGTGAACTCTATAATATTCTATTGATGCATATGTACAAAGCAAAAAAAATCCCTTTCCGCAGTGACACGAGTATACCATTTGATGGTCATCTCAAACTTTCATACCACGGAGTTACTATTGGAGTCAAAGCTCTACAGCAGGGTAATTACAGCCAGAAGATTCTGTTCTGTATCCTGAGTCGAGGCTTAATCAATCGGACGTACACGATCCACATTTACAAGGATGAGGACAAATGAGATTTGGGAATGAGAAATGAAAGAAGGATGAGAGACGAGAAAGCTTATTAAAGTAAATGTGATTCTAAGACAAATTGTTGTATGGCGAACGGTTACTAGTCGTTAGATTTCGTTAAGTCTTTAGAAAATTACAGAGATTTTTGATGTATGTAATTGGTGTACTATACGTGAGGAATTTACAGTGAAATTTGCTTTATTACATCAGCCCAGTAATGACCTCCGCTGTGCAGTTATGTGACAATGTAACATCATTACATTACGTACTCTGTATATTTAACGTGACTTTGCAATGACATACAAATTGCAGAGATTCTTGACTCAACGTAGACGAAAATAGATTCCAAATATTATCATGATAATTTTTTGATAAACAAATGGATTTTTTTTTTAAATTTGGTAAATGACACCTGTATTTGTATTATTTTAACATATGTATGTTTTGCCTGACATGCCTGCATTGAGATACCACCAACAATTCAAGCAAGATAGAGAATAAAATAATCTTAAAATAAAATGTTTCGTTGCTTATCTAAGAGCTGTCATGCTTATCCTCCGTACATACATTCCTTCTTGTTTGCCAGACATTCAAATTATTTTAAATGAAAACAAGGATAATGACATCTATAAGCTACTCCGAAACAGGCATGATACCTCAAGAAGATTGTATATTAGCCTCAGATTGATGTATCTCCGTACCCGATCTCTTTGGCGCGTAATCTCGAAAAAAGTCTTTTTCACAATTTTTCTCAAATATTGTGTCAAAATTAAGAAATCGTGATATTTGAGAATACACGTTTCTTATCTTTTTTTTAATTGCTGTAACGCACTGTGGTAAAGTTATCGTGGTACTTCTAGGCCAAAATGCCCCTATTTGCTTGGTACTGTATTCACGATATCTGCAGATATTGAAAGACAAACAATTTTAAAACTATTTGATAATTCAAGTTGAGAAAAAAAAGTCAATCAATATTAAAGTCCAATTTTAATGATCTGATGCTAAAAATATAATAAATAAATAAAATAAAAACAAAAGAAATCCCCAATTTCAATGACCATATCTCAAAGATTTCAAAATGTCGTATGTAATCGCAGTATAAAGTATAACTTCTTTCCTACTCTGCCTGTAGATGAAAATTTCGGTTTAACAAGGAAAAAGAATTCGATCCAAGTATACAAGTATACCATATATTTTTTCTAAATATAATTTCAACTAAAAAGTTCCTTTTTTAACAATAGAGTTTTGCACACAAGGAAGATGGCTTGTGTCATGCGTAATATAACACTAATATCAGTAAAGCTAGACAATGATTCTGATTTGATAACAGAAATACATTGTTGCGTTGAAATTTTTCATTTTTGTAAATAAAGCAAGTTTCTTTTATCATATAGAATGTTGGTTATTAGAAAAAAGAGAATAATCAAGGAACTACTGTTACAGGGAAATTTTCGCCCCTTTCGCCCTTGTCACAAGTGGGCGAATAATACTTCCTGAAAGTAGCTGTTGTTTCTATAATCAACACAAATTTAACGTCTGTACATGTTTAGGTACTTGGTAAGAATTTACAATTTTCAACAATCGATCAACATATATTTGAATGGTAAGAAATACACCCTGCAGGTTCTAAAAAATCGTTCTCATGTTGTAATATTTATAAGGAACCTTTACAAATTACTTGTTACAAATGTCAATTTTAAATTTTTAAGAAGCACTGGTAAATCCTTTCATTTATTTACGAAAATCTTGTCTATGTATCCCAAATTAAACAGATACTTTTAAACAATTGCTTTTAAGACAATAAAAAGCTATATTCACCTTGGAAACGGAACAAACATAATGGAATTCTGCTCGGGTGCGATAAAACATTGCATGAACTTCCTGTGAACTGTTCTGCGACATAGACATAATGAACACATTTGCTGGCCGTACACGAATCACTTAATTCTCATTGTTTAAGCTGGGTTCATATTACAACGTGTGAATGTAATAAAATCAGTTGACAAGTGTATCTGGGGTCCTCTTTAAACAACTCACTAGAGAGATGACCTGATGGAAAAATGGCGGGTGGAGGGTTCGAGTTTCACCGGAAGTTTATATACTGAGTAATTATTTATTAAAAGCATATGTTTGTCATAAAATATGTTTAATTACAAGTAGAAAATTTTTCTCACTGATTCGAGAAGGCCTGTTCTATTTTTTATGTTCTAAATTAACCGAGATATTTGGTACATGAGCCCGAAAAAGCTCAGTGGTAGAACGCTTGCGTCATAACCCGTGATACTGATGTCTACTGGAGCATGTTCGAAATCCAGTCTTGCCAAAAACCTTTCCTTGCCCTTATATTTATGATTTTATATCAGTTTGTTTCTAAAACGACTAGAAAATGGAATATTTAGTCTTAACCGACTTTTGCAAAAAAAAAAAAATAAAAAAAAATAAAAAAATAATAATTATAATGAAAATACTTTGACCGATGCACTAGCAAGCTTTAATCAAGTCGGCATTGGGCTTGCCTTTGCTCTAAGTCTTTTTTGTTTCTTTTGAAATAGGAATGCATCAACTCCTCTGAGCTAGACATTATGTTCCTTATCACATTCATAAGCCAGTAAATTGATATTGTAGATATCATTAATAGATTCTCCCGTTAGATTCTAACAAACAAATTACATGGGAATAGAAAAAAATGATAAAATCAATGGGGCTACGATGTTTTATATCCCCATGAAGTCTTCTTCTGATCCCCGCTTTGCCTAGTATAATGACACATTGTCATTGTTAGCAAACGTTAAATAATGTATAAACTTACCCATTCATTCCCATACGTAAATATCATGATTTGAAACCTGCCTCGTTCAAAGTATAATTTCAACCGATTTGATGAAACGTGATCCGGTACTATCCTATCGCAACGGAATTGGAGGGGATAAAGTAAGTTGACGGAATCGTTTTTGGTGAGTGGGTAATATCTGAACACAACGGAAGTAATGTTATTTGCATCGTATTCGTATTACTTTTTGTGAGAGGATGCTCCGCCGTACGGTGTACATTTTAAATATAGTACAACATTTTGATTAGGAACAAGACTGTTCTTCCATGCCAAGCAAAGGCTGCTTTCGTTGTTAAAGACCTAGGTTAGAATGATTTCAACTAGAATTTTACATCTAGTCAATAATTTACACGTATAAGATAAAACAGTTACATTGGTAACAACTGAATTTAATTTAAATCAACTTCGTGGAAACAAAGGGCTACGTACCTTGTCATTTTGTTCTTCTGCTCTCTTAATTTGTTGTCAGACTTTTAATTAATTCTACTGAGTATTCAGCCAGTTCAGAAGCCAAAACATTGAGCTTTGATTCGAATAGTCTTTTACAATTTTTTTTATCTAAAACACCGTCATTTGAACGAATAACAAACATATTCAAGTATAAGTATCTATGAAGTTTTCAAATCACAAGTTCAATGTTTGCTCTATGTTACCTTTTCCGATCATTAGATATAATATTTGCCATCAATTTCGTGTCAGTTCAAACTGTGCAGTTTCTTGGTGCAATTTCAAAAGTAAAATAAATCTAGACAGACACCCAGAAGGGGGTCATAAGAAAATTTACCACTGCAAAGCTCTTAAAGTTGTTACTTCTGATATGGCCGATAATATAATCAGCAGAATCAATATCCTTTCTTCGTGAATGGCGGTTAATGTCAAGTTGTGACCCACATCAATCAGAACTAACAAGTACATGTGAAGAAATATCGAAAGTTTGGGAGGATTACAGATTTTCATGTGTCAATTCTCGACAGAGAAGTTTTCCCTTTATCAATAAAACTGAAAGTCAAAACGCGTAAAGTTTCCTTCGTTTATCCATCAATTTTTATTTAAGGAACCTTCAACAAGTCATAAAATGAAATGTGTGTTTATGAATCATGGTAAGGGCTATCAGACCTGCCAATGATACTTTATAACAGGTGATGGAATAAGCTTAGCCGTGAATTAATGAATATGAATTCAGATCGAATTTACCAAACACGATCTGTCATTGCAATAACATTAATGAAATCAGTGGTCATTGCAGTAAATTGATTTTTTTTTACGCTCGTTACCACGACAATTACGGATCGTAAAAGGAACATTGGTTTGGTCAAGAAATTAATTCGACATAGGAATAAAATTTCTCATTAGAACTGAAGTAATGACAAACCACTGTTGCTCTGCTAAATGATCTGCACACGATTTATGCCAAAATATGGCATCTTTAGACTAATACAACTACTGTACCATTACCAACCGATTTTATACAGTCAAATTATATAAATTCCTATAAAAAATAGACTAAATGTGTCATGAAAATCTTTTCCTTCAAGAAAATTATATAAAAATGAGTATCTCTAACTCAAACTGCAATCGTAAACAGCATGAGTTTTAGCTCACCTGAGTCAAGGGCCAAAGATTCGGGTGAGCGTTGTGGCCCAAGAGATTTTTTGTTATTTACTATTTAGTCTGTTCACTTTAAACTGAAAACAAATCACAATTTAGATCTGGAATGAGTTTGATCTTCTGCAAAACAGCAGTTCCATGGTAGCAATGAAGATGCCTCTTTGACAAGCCTTATTTGTGCAGTGAGTATCATACATTATTTATATATTTTGCTCTTGTACTCTTCAACTGTGGAATATGGAATAGATGGGGAATAATTCCACAAGCAGAAACATAAATCAAGATACTGTAGATCACTAAATTACGACACCTTATTTTCGCTAGATAGTCATCGACTCTTGATAAGCGAGACAAAATTTTCCCGACATTGTGGTTATTGCTCTATACATTCCCGAAACTTCAACAGCTAGCTGTTTAAAAGATATTGTTATATGAACTGACTGTTTTTGTTTTAGAAAGGACATATATTAAATTTTTTTTCTGTGTCCATGACCTTGAATTTATAACATTAAAAAAATTTAGCCGGTAAAAAAAAAATGTCAGATGTTTCAGCTCTTTACCACAGGATTTATTGATATTCAAATTTTTGGTTTTTATTTATCTGTGTTAT